AGCTGGTCAGCCTCGTGTGTCTTGGTGCTGCCTCTTCTGCCTCCAGACCTATCTATGTGTGCATCTTCAGCCTTGGAGATAAGCTTGGGGAGCCAAATGCTTCCCAAGACTGCAGCACAGATTCCCTGCCTCCTGCGCTCTAGCCTCAGTTCACAAAATGAGATGTGCTTGTCTTCCCTGAGCAGAATCTGCTCTCTTTCTGAAGAGTGAAATATAGCGCTTGTTTTGAGAGCTGACAACACATAATGTGTTTAGCAGCAATTGCAAGTTGAAACCAGGCCTTATGTCTTCTCAGTTTGATGGGAGAGAAGCATCATTGTCTGCAAATGTATTCCACCCTTGTTTTACCTGCTTCGTCGTTATACTGAAGGTAGAAGATTCCTTTGCAGCTCTTTGACCTTGTTTCGTGCCTAGTCAGTGCATGCTTAGCAGTATGAATTTTGAGGCAGAGTCTGCTGGCTCTTTGACAGCTCAAAAGAGTGTGCGTTGCCCTAAATGATTTGCTTTGCTCACTTTGTGCCTGTGATCTCTAGCACACACACTCCCTCTTTCTGTGCTTTTTTTGTCTAGTTCTAAATCTCTCCTTTGGCTTTGGTGCAGTTGCTTAACCAGGAGCAACTGAGGCTGGGTGGGAGGGCATGGAGACAAGGGGTTTATATTCCAAAGGCTTCACCCTGCTTTTGCAATATCATTCCAAACATCATCCCAATCAATGTTTGAAATAATACTTTGCTTTTTTTTTTTTCTTTCCACAAATTCCTTGGCTCGAACACAGGAAGATCAGCAAGAAGGGAGGAATGCTTCTGAAACCCAGCAGGCAATGCCCTCTGGATGTGTGTACATTGCAAAGTCATCAGTCATTCAGTTGTTGACTCAAAGTTATTCTGGTTTTCCAGTGTGCTTGTTCACTGCTGAGTTGTAGCCACAGATGGTGAAAGTAAACTTTGCACTTTTCAGAGTGTAGTCCTTTCCCAGATTTTATTTGTCTGCCTTTTGCGGTTTGGTTTGACTTTTAATTTCCTTGGGGATTCTCTACAGATGGAGAAGGTAATGCTCAAAGAGTGAATTTTGCCCTGATTTCCCAGAATTGCTTCTGGTGGGAACAGTAGCATTCATGTCTTCCTTTGTGTTGTCTCTGACAGCCAGAGGATGGTTTCTTCTGGGAAGCAACACGATCTGGAGAGAAGATTTAGCTGGTGCTTTTCTGGGATGTGGGGGTGTGGGGTGGATGCCCAGTGAGGTCTCTGAGTACAAATGGAGCCATGTGGTACTGGCTAGAAGTATAGTGGGAAAGCAGAAATAAAGCTTATTGCTTGTAATTATAAAAGGCAGTTGTTAAGTCAGGAAAAGTGATCTGCAATTAATTGCAACTCTTGTTCTGGATGTATGGGATTGTGCTAAGGTGGAAGAGGCCAAAAAAACCCCAATGCCTAGCTGGAGGTTCTGATGTTTAATACAGCATCCCAAGCATCATCTGGACTGAATTAAGGTATGACTCCATCTGGTTATCACTTGGCTTTACTGGGAAATGAGCTGTGTGTTTGTCTGCTGTACTTCAGGTCTGGGTGCTGTGTTTGTCTGCTTCACACGCTCACTCTGCAATTTGCAAAGGGTTTTTTGTAATTGGCTGAAGAACACTGAAAACTATTTTAAGCTTGTAAATTTGTATTGAGCACCTTGACAGAGGGATTATCAGTTGGTCCCTAAGGAGACCGTGTTTAGTGAGAGGGAAAGGGGAGACAAACCTCTTGTGTCTGAGCTCGGCGTGTCCTTAACCGGTGCTGGCCTCATCCAGAAAGGCTGACGGGTGCTTTGGAAGAGGTGAGAGGCATTTCCTGGGATCTTGTGTCCCTCTGGAGCCATTGCAGTCAAGTGGGACCAAAGTCAGCCATGATGGGAAGGACTTCTAGTGGGTTGATGTGGCTGGGGATACACAGCGTCTCTGCACATAGGGGACAGATGGCTGTGTCAGTGCAACAGCTTCTAGGCACTGAGTGTGATCAACATTTGGTCTTACAAATATATGTAGTTCTTGAGTCAGTTGAGATTAATTAAGATTATTTTATTTGTCCTAAAAGACTGAATTTTAACTGTAATAATAACTATTATAGTATTTATACATAGATACAATGCTGCTATATTTGCATTTCCAAAATGTGATGAAAGATGCTTATTGTTTGAGGGTCGGTTCATATAACTACAAAGGTATTAGTAAAGGTAGGGAAAAAAACCTTATAATAAGAGTGCTCTGTGTTTGTATTCATTGCTGTTATTCTTTACTATGTTCTTTAAAACAGTAAATGCAAACATTATTGCACAGCCAATTCATTCTCAGGGTCACTTCTTAGGCTATAAAATGTTGCTTCTTATAAGCCTTTTACCTTGAAAAGGGACAGCAAACATAAGCTGGACTCTTTAAAATGTAACATTTACCCTTAATAATGGTTTGGTGTTTTTCTTTTTTGTTCTGTGGTCAGATACTGCTTGCTGAATCTCTGCCTGTGACTTGTCAACTTTACAAGAAGTGCACTTATTTCTGCGTGACATGGTGGGAGGGCAGGCTGGCAAGCATCTCTGAGTGTCTTGGTGAGGTACCTATCGTGTCTGTGAGGGAACCCAAATCTCTTGCTTTAAGTTGAAGGGTTTGGGGGTTAAAGCAAACTTTTGCTGTCTGTCAGCAATAAAGATCTGTCTGCTCTAGGAAGATCTCCTGTGGGCAGAGCATTTCACATCTTCCCTTGCTTACAGTCTTGTCAGCTGGAGTTTTCAATGATTAAACTGCAGCACGTGCTAAGAGTGACAGCAAGAGTGTGCTAAGGCTGAGGCAACCTCGTGGCAATGCCTTGTCATTCAGAACAGCAGGAAAAGTGTGGAAGTTGTCTTGGCTGATAACACAAATTCATATTAACAATTCCTTGCTGAAATGATGGGGCTGCTTTCCTGAGCAGCCAACGCTCGTGCACCGTGTTGCGGGGGCGGCAGCTGTGTGTCGCACAGGTCATCCCCTCTCCTCATCCTTTCCACTCCCGCTACGGTGCACTTAGAAGAGCAATCCATGAGAAGGAAGGAGCGAAGCCGGTCTGCCCTGTGCATGTGTGGTGCGAGGCGAGAGCAAGACCCCGGGGAAGCTGGTGCTCGCTGAAGGCCAGGCGCAGCCTCTGTTAGGCAGGACTCGGTGGGGCTGGTGAGCTGCCTTTCCCCACCAAGACTTCTGTTGTCAGGTCAAGCTTAGAAATGTTTCCAGCTGCCAGGTGGGGTGACCCGGGTGTGAACTTCTGGCTGCAGGGAGAAACCTGCTCGCGCAAAAGGAGCGCGATGCTGCGCGCTCTTCCTCCAGGGAGAGCTGCAGAGGAGAGCACGAGCTAAGGTCAGTGGTGCGAGTATGTCATGGTCCGGTCCTTTGGGGCTCCCCTGCTGTCTGGGAGAGCAGAGGATGTAGAAATTGCTCCATGTGTTTTCAACAGGCAAAATAATTATTTTCCCTAGAATCCATGAAAGGACAGGAAGGAGGCTTTGGGTTGCTTAGCGAGCTTGTAGGGTGACTGGGGCTGCTGAGTTTGAGGCACTGCATTTTAGTATCAACTTTTGTCTCCATCTTTGGCTCTTTGATAGTCCAGTGTGGACCTGTATGTTGTGTGCCCTCTGCAAAGCTTGGGATAGCTGTTTATATTTCACCCTTTTTCAGGCAGGGTGGTTTTGAGGCTAAAGCGCTGTTATCCTGTTTGGGGCTTTAAGACACAGAGGCAGGAGGAAAGTTTGGAAACGAAAGTTTCATGGTATGAAGCATCAAAATGTTGCAATCTGGGAGTCAAAGCAGATAAACATTATCTTGGGCTTTCTTGGAGGAAAAAAAAAGGCTCTTACTCAGATTCTTAAATTCACAAGTGTGGCTAGGACTGGAGTTGAGAGCTCAGGGCAGAACTTTTTGCACAGATGGCTAAATCAGGGTCTTAAATGCGTTACTGTGACCATTGGATGTTTTTCACTCTATTTATACCATCCACACATGCTGCTGATTCTGTGTGGTGAACTGCCTTTGCGTCTTCAACTGCAGTAGTCACATACACCTCTGGGATGTCACACAAAGTTCAATCTTGGCACTCTTTGAAGGCCGTGACATGAAGACTAAAGTTTGCTTCAGTGGTGAGGAAGAGAGTTGCCCTTAAAAACTACTTAGGGAGGAGACTTACGATTGGTCTGGTTCAGGCTGGACTGTTTGGAAGCTCATATAAAGCTTTAATAAGTCTTGCAAACAACAGAGTAAATCCAGGTAGAAGCTGATGATCTGCTCTGAAGTCAACGGGAGCTGCTCCAGTGACTTCAAGGATGACAGCAGATCTATTGGGACAGTGTCTTGTGTGTGCATTGGTAATGAAGAAAAGACATTGCCTATTTATTTTTTTTAGGTGGGGAAATGAAGGCTTACAGTGGGTGTGAATCTTCTTCAGTAACAGCTGATGTGTCTGTGTAAGACCTTGGAAGACCTGAAATATTGGCTTTTACTTATTTTCAATCGAAGTTTCTTTTAGCTTTTTGCAGTGAGAAGGAAAATCAAAACAGGAATCAGCTAAGGCTGATGCTTGGTTTTGACTGACTTGATGTAAAGGCAGAGCCAGGACTATATCTCCCGGTATTGTCAGTGTGCTCAAGCTGGTGCAAACCCTTCTGCTGAGCCTGGAATCAACGTTAAGGGTCTCAGAGAGAGTCAAAAGGTGTCATGTCTGTGTTGCTGTACACCTGTGGGCTTTGAGTTGGGCTTTGTACACATGGCTTTTGACTTGAGCTGTTCTCTGTTGGGGCCTGAGTGAAGCAGAGTAAAGTACCTTTTCCAAAGAAAGAGCCTCTCCATGAATTTGGGAATGGTCTTTTCTTTTCCTGCCTCTGCATCGTTGCTTGTATGTTGTGTATAATGATACTTGCCTGCCTTTTGTACGTTTTATTTCCATTGCTGCTGATAGGAGGACTGTGTTTAGTAGAACACTCTCTTGATATAAATTGAGTGTTTTCTTTTTGTTGTTGTTGTTTAAATAGGTATATTGCAGTGGATCTGAAAGTGATATAAGAAAGAATTGCCCCTGGGAAGAGAAGCCTCGCTGCA